AGAGCTGTCTTCCTTGTAGACGTGATTCCATATACCATATTCAAGTGCTCTGGATCCTGGAATTAACCTTTATTCACTCTCCATATTATTAAAAAATCCATATACGTACACAACACGTGATTCTTCCTATCTAGATGTCTTGCTCTATAGTCCCTGTGTCTCTAAATCCTCCTTATTCTTCCAGGCCTCACAATCTCTCCATCTTAACGATTTAGAGCCTGCCTTGCTCTGCAGCTCAGGAAATGTGTCTTATACCTTGCAGACCCTTTTCTCCTTTCCCCCAAGGCACCCTGCCCAGTGTTGAGTTTAGAGTGCCCATTCAAAAAACAAACAGACAACCAAACATAAACGAAGCTCATCAAAGTAAAGTCATAGAACTTCTTCCTAGAAGGGCATCTCCAGTTTGTACACTAAAACAGAAGCCACACACCTGGGTTTCTACAACAGCCTCCTCACTCTTTGCCGCCTTCTCTTGCCCCACTTTCAGCAAACTTTCCAAAATGTAAAGCTGACCCTTCACATCAATAGTTAAAACTTTCCTAACCCCTCACTTGAAACTCATGGAAATCCTTAGCATAGAGTACAAGCCCTTCAGGGTTTGCCTCCTGTGGCTTCTCCACACTCAATCTCCCCTGCATTTTATTTCCCAGTCATTTGGAAGAGTTTTATCCACTTTAGGAACTAGCATGCTGATCCCTCACCCAAAACATTTCCTCCCTCCTCTCTCCTTTCCTCCCTGCTTTCACCAAAGCTAACTCCTACCTACCCTTCCTTTCCGGGCTTTGCTGTCCCTACAAGTCCTCATTAAGCCCCTGTGGAGAGGTGCTCTTCCTACATGCTTCCATTGACCTGGGATTTACCCTCCACTGGCAGAAACCACTTTATACCGTAATTGCCTGGCCACTAGTTGATTATCCCTGCTGGAATGTATGTTTATGAGGAAAGGGACCGTTCTATTTTATTTGCCTCTGTGCTTAGCTCGTGCCTGGCAGAGTAAGTGGTTGTTGAATATTTATTGAATAAATGGCCAACTGAATGAATGAATAAGTGAATGCTTTCACTTTGGGAGTCCAGTGTATTTCTGAACCACGCCAAATACTTGAACCTCTAGGCAAAGCAACCAGGCTTGAGTGGAGGGGGAATTATTCCTCTCTTCTTATCCAACCTTGGTAGTTCAAAGAGGAGTCAAGATGTGTGTCACATTCCCAAAATCCAGATCGTGGGCAATGATGGACCATGCAGGCTGGAGAACAATGGCCACAGTCACTGCCCGTAAACAATGCCAATCACTATGCCCAGAGACTGTACAAGGAACTGCCCTGCACAGGGACAGAGCAGGGCTGGGGAAAGAGGACACCCAATCAGCTCCAGGGTCTCAGCCCATGGAGGAGCACAGGGGAAGGACATTGTTTTTACAGGGTCAATTTGATAACCATATTCTCCCTTCCCTGACCAAGGGGCTGTGGAGGGCAGTGTAAAGTAGGCATCAGAGAGCAGGAGTAGAGATGAGGAGGATGGAACTTGTCCCACCAATTCCATTCATTCGATCAACATGTACTGAGTGCTTACCTATGCCAGCACAGTGCTAGGTCATGTGGCTACAACGTGAATAAACAACCAGTGATCTTTCCTCCCTCTGTGGAGCTTACCATCTAGAGGTGCACTCAGAATTACTCAATCACAGAAATAAAGTTAATGTGCATCTTTAAGTTGCTTTGAAATTACAGGTTCAGGTTATGGGGTATAATAAAAGGGGACCTGGCCTAGTCAGGGAAGGTATGGAAGGCCTCCTTGAGGAAGTAAGTAATGAGCTGAGAGCTGAAGGGTGAGCAGGAGTACATTACAGTGTTGGAAGAACAATGAAGCATTCCAAGCAGAGGGAACTGCATGAGTGGCCTTCCCCTCTCGATCAAGTTAAAGAACCACTTCAACCAAGTTCCGTTTTGTAGGCCCTATCTGCTTCTTCTCAACCCAATTTCTATATTTTACTTAAAGAAAAAGGAGGCTATGGAATGGACTTGCGTGAGGGGACTGCTGACAGGACGTGTAGATCGCAATGAGGGGATGAGATGTGACCAGGCCACATCTAGTCACCCCAGGCTCTGACCATCAGCCAGCCTCAGTTGGAGAACTGCAAGGCACCAAGGGGCAGCAGGTTTCTCTCAGACTTGGATCCAGCCAGCCAGGCCCGCAGAGAGAAGCGCGGCGGGAAGCCAAGCGCCCATACAGAGTGAACGGATGCCCCTATTTCAGGAAGAGCATGGCGCAGCAGCTATATTTGAAAATTGAGGTAAACAAGAGCTCGGCTCAAGTGGATGGGGCACGACAGCTGTGGAAGATTAATCACACACGGCTGCAAGTCACCAGGTCGCCAGAGGCCGGGAGGCTTCCCTTTTGGTGCCCCACCAGAAGGCCGGATGTGCTCCTATCACGTACCCACATCCCCCCCCACAGCCCATCCAGCTCACCGGCCCCCCCCCCCCCGCCCCCAGTTGTTTCTTCAGCACCCAGGAGCTGCGCGCGCCTGGCTCCCAGGTACAGCCTGCATTTCTGATAAATTGCACCCAATTTCAATCCTTCTGCCCAGGAGATCTAACCACCAAACGTCCAGGGTTCGCTTTTTAATCTTCAGGAGGGGGGTGGAGGAGGAGGAGAGAGAGAGAGAGAGGCCAGCGACGAGCGGGTAAATTTATGGCACTGCATTAAAAGCGTTTGTTCTATTTAATCCCCACCACTACCACCTTCATGGTTAAAAATAAAAGACAATGAATAAAAACGAAAAACTGGTTCTCCTCTAACCAGATCGCTTTATCGTCTCCCCCAGTGGCTCAGGTCCTCGGGCTGGTCAGCCAGGGCCTGCAGAAGCAGCGCTAGCCTCTGAATGAGGGCTGTGGCCGTGTGGTGTTGTGTGTGTGTGTGTTGTGTGTTGTTGTGTGGTGTGCGCGCGGGCGCGCATTGGGCGGGGGGGGGGGGATTAGGATTAGTTACATACTTCGCTTCTCTCCACCGGGCCCCAGACCGCGCAGACCACCGGGGGTGGAGAGCTCAGGGCAATTTTTTTTTTTTTT